TGCTCCAGGAACACGTCGGGAACATTAAAGATGTTTAAAAGAAATGAAATCTGTCACTTTGTGATGAAATAACTTAAGTTCACTTCACAAGATAATAATGATACTTAAAAAAATAGGCTTCTTATTAAAATAGAGAAATAATTCATGTTTAAAACACAGAGAGCAGGTGAACACAAAACGCTGTTAACCTGGAATCCCTGGCTGCTGATTGGCCGTTACTGGCGACCAATCAGATCAGTTTGAAACTCCTCCTCTTCGTCCTCCTCGTCCTTCCTCCTCCTCCTCGGCTCCTCCCTTACCGGTTCCCCCTTAAAGCTGATTGAACATCCAGCAGACGGTCCTGCTCAGCGTCCGGCCCGTGAACCTCCTGGAGGTTCTGGAGGTTCTGGTGCTGCAGCAGGACCGGCACTTCCTGGACGTGGTTCTTCTGGACTGTGATGTTCTAACTGTGTTTCTCCTCCAGTCTGGGCTCAGCAGCTCTGCATGTCGTCCTGGAAGCAGCCAGGTACGATCCGCACCAGAACATCACACCTGAGCAGCTTCACACAGGTTCTGAGCTCCATCGGATCGGATCGGATCAGATCGGATTGGATCAGATCGGATCAGATCCGAGTCAGAACTCCTCCTGAACATCCAACAGAGTGTTTATTAATTAAATTAGTTCCTCAGGTTCTGTCTTTAGCGGTTTCCTGCAGTAATATTTAGTTTATTTACACTTTGGTGCAACATTATGTAGAGTGTAATTACTTTTTAGAGTCAATATTCTGTTTTTTGACACCTTCATGATGAATATCCAGGTTTTTTGGGACTTAATATTTACAATTTTGGCCATTTTTTTAATTGCTATTTAATTTTTTGTACTTTTTTGTATTCGTATTCTGTTTTTTTTACACTTTGGTGCAACGATATTTAGATTATAATGACTTTTGTGTATTTAACACCTCGTGGCATTAATATATCCAGGGTATTTCCATTTTTACACTTTGTTGTAATGATATTCAGGTTGTTGATATTTCTCTGCATTCATTTTTAGTTTTTTTTTTTTTGCACTTTTTTGCATTAACATCCAGGTTTTTGACGTCTTCCTGCTTTAATAATATTTTATTTTTTTGCACTCTGGTGCTTATATGTTCAGGGTATTAGTACTTTTGTATGATAATATTTAGTTTTCTTGGTCTTTCCAACCTTCACTTCCACTTTTTTGAGTCTTTGGTGCGTTGATATCCAAACTACTGCTGACTATACTTCAGTGTGACGCGTCACTGCTGCAAAACGGGAAAAGATCTGTGATAGAAACCTTGATTTTTATTTAACATAGTCGTGCTGCTGTGTGACGCTGCAGACTCAGAGGAGATCAACCTCTGAGTGTCTGAGGTGAAGCTTCTCAGTCCTCCAGGTCACGGTCGTCCTCGTGGATTAATCGTAGCAGCTGGACTCACTTTGAAGATGTTTCACCTCTCATCCACACTTATCCACAACGAACCCCACTGGAGCACTAACGAGTCACATAACGAGGGGGAGGAGCAACAAACCCCCAATTAAAACTCAGGTGTTAAAGTCTCCTTCAGGATATCAGTATGTGGAACTCCCAACTCGTCAGTCAGAGCTGATGAAGCCTCTTGGATGAAGGTGGAACGTCTTCAAGGAACTCAATCAGTCCAGTTGTTAGGATTAAAGTACCAGAATGAATCCTCTGAGCATCCAAACATCTGCTACTCTGATCCTCTTCAACACGTGAGTCAGGACATCGTGTACGGTGGAGCTATCTGGTGATAAATGTGCAGCAGCGTCTGATTTAGCGAAGCTGACGGATGACGACGCTCCTGTTTGTCCTCCAGACGTCGGTTTGGTTTCTGTGAGCTGCTCTGCTCGGAGCCGCCAGCAGGGGGCAGCGTCTGACTCAGTCTGGATGCAGAGCGATGCCAACGTGGTTCTCTGCTTTCAGAACCGTTGGAATCTGACGGCTTCAGTTTCATTCCTTCAGAAACGATCCTGTTGTTCTGCAGTTCAGCTGAAAACTGTTGTTGTCACTGTTGTGCTTCAGCGTCTCTGCAGTCGTTTATTGGCGTCAATCTCTCGTTTTTCACCGATTCTGTCTGTTTCTGGTCTGATTTGGTCTATTTCAGGTCGTTTCTGTGTTGATTTGCGTCGATTTCTGCTCATTTTGAATCGTTTTGAGACCGTTTTGTGTGTTTTAGAGGCTTTTTGTATCAGCTGGAACCAGGAAAGAATATTTTTTTCTTAGCTTTTCTTTTGGTTTTGTAGGATGAACTGATTTAAGATGCAGGTTATTATAATTGCATTCATATCCATCTGTGTCTTTATATAAATTAATATCAAGTCTTCATGACCTCATATTCAGTTTGTTTGCATTTTTGATGCCTTGACGTCTTTTTTTTTTGTCTCTGGTGCATTAATATCCAAACTAAAACCAGTTACGGTGATAAAATAAAACGTCGCTGCTGCAAACATGTGACAGAAAATATCAGGACTGAGCTGGAACTAAAGACGGCTACAGACAAAAAAAAAACAAAACAAAACTATAATCTGAGAGGTTAAATGTCATCTGTTCACCTAAAAACTTTAATCACAGGACTGTTGGTCCCAGTCGGGTCAGTCGTGGAGAATCCTGCGGTTCTGGGAGAAAAGAATTTTTTATTTTTCACAGAATCTGATGAGAACAAACTGTTTATTTTAAAACGTAGGATGAAGCGATTTTGCTCTGATGTCATAATTTTAAGCTTAAATATGAGCGATTTTCGTTTCAGAGTCTCAGTAGATTTCAGGGTTCAGACGGTTTAAAGAGTCCAAACGACAGCTTTTATTTCTCATTTATCGACTGAAGCTACGTTCTGCACGTCTTCCTTCGTGTCTGATGAAGAAGTTGATCCTTGACGAGTCGTTTTCCAGATACTGCTGAGTGAAAATAAAATCAGTTTTTAGCAGAAAACAATCAGACGTAAGGAAGATTTACAACCAGAAATAAACTGAGCGGCTAAAATCAAAGGTGGGAAGTAAAGTGACATCAGACGTTATGATGAAACGCTGCCCAGACGTAAATGTGGTGCATCCAGTCAGAATATTGGACGAGATGCTGAACAGTACTGATGCAAATAATGACATTAAGAGTCCAACCTGACTTCACTGAATCCACGAATCATCACAGAAGAAAACATTTACGTCAATAAGTCAGCAAAGTGTGGGATTGTTCACTGTCCTGCAGGATTTCTTTCTAGTCTGCGCCTCAGATGATGTTTCAGGGCGTCTGGAGGTGAGCAGATGGTTCAGGTTGAACCCTGCGTGACGCTCGTGTCGTCTCCTGCAGCAGCTTCCTGTGCAGACAGCCGGTGATGGACGGAGGCTGGAGCTGCTGCTGCTGCTGCTCCGCTAATGGACTCCTTAATGCACACGTCGTTAGCACACAGTCCCATCATGCACCAGTCAGCAGGGCGTTTTCTCAGTCGCCAGATGGGAGCGCGAGCCGAGAGCGTGGAGGTTGTTTTCTCCCACGCCGTGCCGGTTGTTGTGTTGTTGTGTTGTTGTGTTGCTGTGTGTGGAGGCCATGCTGAATGTGGTGCCTGTCGCTCGAGCACTAAGAAGCCGTCGTTCTCTTACAGTGGACAAGAACAAACCGGCGGCGAGATCCAGCGGCGGCAGCCAGACGGCCGAGAAGAACCAGAACCAGCAGCTGCCTCCACCTGAGCAGGTGAGTTTAACCTCTGAAGCTCTGATGAAGCAGAGAGAGCTCAGGAGTGTCTAGAATGAAGGAAATCAGGAAAAAACAAAAGCAGAAGTTGAATTCAGCTTCACTTCTTTCCAATTTCGAGGTCAATAAATCATCTAAACAGCTGGATTTCCTTTATTTGTTTGACACATGAGTCCAGCTGTTCCGACACCGAGGCTCTTTGTGCTGCAGACGTTTAACTGGTTAATGTGTCGTCTCCTGATTCTGGATCGACGACGTGATGAGAAACAACAGAGAAGCTTCCAGAGAAAAGTCTTCTGTCAGCAGTTAGGAAAAAGGAACGCTTGTGTGATTATTTAGTCGCATAATAATCGACGTTACCAACAGTTTAAACGATGTGGAGGCTTCACATGTTACAGATGTTGAACTTCTTCAGCTTTCGTTATCTCTGTCCTCGTCTGTGGAAACTCTGCCTGCAGAATTTTTAGTTTTTCTAGAAGCTGGTTTGAACAAATCCTTTATTTTTGGTGAATCTTTAAAACGTGTAGAATAAAGTGATCTTTAATGAAATATGGAGACTTGAGGCTTAGATGTGGTTGGTTTTCCAGACAGAGCTTCTCATCACATGTAGCTGGAAGGCTGAGAATCCAACGGTTGGTTTTAGTTTTTGTTATTTTCCATCAGCATGTTTGACGGATGAACATCTCCACGAGTTAAATGTCTTCAAATCAGAAAAAGAAAAACGGCTCTTTGATTATTTATTAAGATGCTATAAGATCCCACAGTGAGAGAGTTTACATGTAAGAACAAGAAAATATCCACCATCAGATGTAGAAAGATGTTCCACCATCATGTAGAAAGATGTTCCACCATCAG